CCATAGTTCTCCAAAGGGTAACGGGAAGACACAAACTAGCGTCCTCCCGTCACCCAAAGCTACAGCTCGCGGTATACTGAGGCGCCGCTGCCGGGACGGATCCCGGCTTTACTGTCAACTTCCACCCAGCTGCGTGAGTGACAGCTATTTAGAGGCATAGCCAGCTGTACCCGCCCCTCCCCCGTCCGTTCCGCCAGTCAGCGCTGGAGGATTGGACAGGGGAGGGGGGGAATCCCAGCAGGGAGCCGTGAGCGACAGTCACGGCTCTCTGCAGGGATAGATCGAGAAGTGAGCGAGCGACGGTATGTGTTCGCTCACTTCCCGATCTATTGAGCCGACCTGTGACAGTTTCATTGTCACAGGTCGACTAGAACTATAAGGCTGAGTGATTTTCACTTGCCTCATAGTTCTCCTTTAATTGGCTCCAATCTAAATTGTCCCTTGTATGCATGCATGCGAGATAGGGACCTTAGATTGTAAGCTCCTTGAGGGCTGGGAGTAATGTGAACTATATAAATACCTGTACAAATAATAATAATAAAATACATTTCTGCAAATCATTTAGTTGATATGGTGCAGTAAGTTCCCCTACCACTGTACTTCCTGGCTGCAGATCTCATAGACCCCAACACTCCAGTCACATCTCCACCTTAGATCGAGAAGTGAGCGAGCGACGGTATGTGTTCGCTCACTTCCCGATCTATTGAGCCGACCTGTGACAGTTTCATTGTCACAGGTCGACTAGAACTATAAGGCTGAGTGATTTTCACTTGCCTCATAGTTCTCCTTTAATTGGCTCCAATCTAAATTGTCCCTTGTATGCATGCATGCGAGATAGGGACCTTAGATTGTAAGCTCCTTGAGGGCTGGGAGTAATGTGAACTATATAAATACCTGTAGTAGTAATAATAATAATAAAATACATTTCTGCAAATCATTTAGTTGATATGGTGCAGTAAGTTCCCCTACCACTGTACTTCCTGGCTGCAGATCTCATAGACCCCAACACTCCAGTCACATCTCCACCTTCCTTCTCCTCCAGGCCATTCACAAAACAGAGACTGGGGCTGTGTGTTTCATGAATGGCCTGGAGGAGAAGGAAGGTGGAGATGTGACTGGAGTGTTGGGGTCTATGAGATCTGCAGCCAGGAAGTACAGTGGTAAGGGAACTTCCTGCATCATATAAACTAAATGATTTGCAGGACTTGGAAGTATTCCGGCATGGAAAGTAAATATTTGCCGGCTCTAAACCTGGGAAAGCAATCCTGCCCGAAGTTGTGCTTTAAAGCGAGTTAAATCTTAAAAATACATTCAAGTACCTTAACCAGTTGACATCCGCGGTGTTAAACCCCCTTCCCATCCAGGCCATTTTTCAGTATTCAGCGCTGCGGTACTTTGACTGACATTTATTCCGTCATGCAGCGCTGTTGTATAATTCAACTCTTCGTTTTTGCATACATCTACTGCTTGCTCGCAATAGATATATGCAAAAACAAAAAAGTTACCAAAAAGGGTTTTACTTACCTCAGGTCACTGCTGCTCGCTCCCGTCTGAAGATTCTCAAGTGGCCGTGCAGGAGAGATCTTAGGCTGGGAGAGGAGAGACACAGTGCAAGTCAATGCAGGCAGCCCCGCAGTGTGCACGTGGACAGACTCAGTGGGACACAGAAGACGCCGCAGTCAGCACTGGAGGGGGGGGGGGGGACGGGGGGTTACAGGATTGATTTCAGTTATTTTTTTCCAAGGGCTGTGCTACCAAATATTAATGGATGGTGCCAATAATTTTGTCTAGTACATTTTTGGAGTTGTGTGGAATGTGTCAGATTTGGCTTTTTTTCCCTCCACTTTTTTGTGTCATACCAATACAAACATAAGAAATAAACATGAGAATGCCGAAACGTTTATAATTGCAACAATTATCTGCGCAGTGATGCATTATCTGACAGGAATGCAGGGGTGCCAATATTTTTGCCCATGACTGTATATGGCCAGAACTTTAGTGTTGGATGAGTAGGGAAGAATTAACAGTCCCCCGACAGTTTATTTTTTGGTGTCCGTGTACCATTGGAGACATTTCCCTGGCTTTCTTATCCCAGGGATGCAACAGAAAGTGAGGTGCATCCCCCAAACAAGTGTCCCCACTGAAAAAAATGGCCCCTTACATCATGTTTTTGGGACAACTCTAACATTTTGCATTTCCCTGGTCTAAACCTGGGGCTGGGGGGAACTGTCTTTAGAAGCCTCAGCATTACACTGATCACAGCTGCAATGCTTTGCGGGCTTGAATACAAAAATTCAATAAATACATTATGAGTGCATTTATAATTTTTGTGTAGACTATTGTACCAGCTCAACCATCGATTAGTGCAGAAAGTTTGGAGTTTTAGGGGTCTATCTATAAACCTTTTGCAGAGCCATTTATCCTGCAGATCTCTGAGCCCAAAACCAACGGTCTTGTTACATTTTCTTTATATGTTTAATGTATTCATCAGATGTCATCTTGTAATACTGTGTTATGGCCACGAGGTGGAGCCGACGAGCCCAGAATATAGGCATTAATTTCCTATGTTCCTCCAGTCCATCTGGTGGCCATAATGCGGTATAACAAGATGACATTCAAAAACACATTGAACCTATAGCGAAAATATACTAAGAATGTTTGTTCTATTTGCACAAAACAAACATTCACAGAGCAGATTTACAGGGCAAAAGGCTCTGCGAATGGTCCATAATGAGACACCTAGGTAATATCTTTTATGGGTAACCTCAAGTTATTAGTAGGGATGCACCGATACCACTTTTTTGGGTCTGAGTACGAGTATGAGATGCACGCGTTTGAGATATCTTAGATCCCTTCATCAGGCTTTGTATATTTCTGGAGAGGGGTCTGAAACTTCCATATTTATAATGAAATAAGCATTAAATTAGTATTAAACTCAAACTTTTTTCAATGATGAATCCAGATCAGCCAAATATACATTTCCCAGCAAAGTCGTTTACATTTTTTGCCCACACACTTACAGTCACCATGTTTCCAAATAGCTCCAATCCTCTCAGCACGGCTTCCCTAAACTTCCTGTCCAGTACAACATCACAAGGGACAGATCATACTCCAGCAGCCATTCATCTACTAGCTTGGAGAAGGGAGGAAAAAAAGAAAAAGAAAAAAGGAGTGGGGAAAATGGATCAGGGAGCGTGACTAACCTTGCTGTGTCTGTGGAGACACACACAGCTTATTGGCACACACAAGGGTGGCTCCATAGGACCCTGAAAGGGAAAGGAGACATCCTAAAACAGGATATCAGGACCAGTGCTCAGGGGAGCAGCTGATTCTACAGGAAGCTAAAACTTTTATACATTAAGGAGCAGCATCCATTGTAAGTGATTTCATCAGCATCTTAAACCCTTTTGACTTTAAAGTGACACTATACTCAGGAGTTAAATCTTAAAAATACATTCAAGTACTGTAACTAATAACAAAATGTATCTTATTTGTGCGTCACTCAGCTGTAGATCCTCAAATCACCTCTGAATTGGTGCCGACACCGTCCTTCCTTCTGGAGGGGGGCTACTTGTTCCCCATGGTCCCTGTGTGTGTTGTAAAGTAGTCACCGCTCCAAGATCACTCCCGGGATGGACTACAATCCCAATACAAACTACCCTGTTTCCCTGAAAATAAGACCTACCCTGAAAATAAGACCCTAGTACTGTTTTTGGGAATTGCTAAAATATAAGACCTACCCCGAAAATAAGACCTAGTTGTGACCATTCCCAGGGCTGGTGGTGGCGTAAGGGGGAACTTGAAGAGCCGCGGGAGAGAATCAGCGGTGCCAACTAAGCCAGCGCTAGAGGAAGCCACCGGAAGGGAGCAAAGCCGCATAAGCCGATGCCTCCTCTATAGTGCTAGTGAAAGTGCGCTTCACTCATTCTGGCCAGCGATTGGTTGAAGTGTGGATTGTTGTACATTAGAAAAAAAAAAGACCAACTCCGAAAATAAGACCTAGTGTGTTTTTTTTGAGCCAAACAAAATGTAAGACAGTGTCTTATTTTCGGGGAAACACGGTAAAAACATGAGATTGTAGTCCATCACAGGGTACTGGACTGTATTTAAGATTTAACTCCTGAGTTTAGTGTCACTTAAAAAATAAATTCAAAAACATTTTACAAAAATGATTATAAAATGTGAGGGACAGAAGATCCCGGAGATCACCAGAACGGGTCACATCTACACTTTGGAGTGCAAATAATCTCACAGAGAATGACTTCTGAAATGGAATGACCATCGGCCAATCAGAGGACAGCTGCTGAGGAACTCTGAATTGGGGAAGCAAAATGAAAAGTAGGAAGGAAATGGAGAAGGTGCAGAGCAAACATGATGATGATTCCAGTGATGGCAATAAGATATATGATGGATACAAGTGAATCCTCAGGATTTCAGGGGGGTGACTCCCCCCCCCATGTGTATATAATGAAGGGGTGACACATGTCATCTTTAGAGATGTTAATATTGGCGCTTGTGGATGTCCCCCCTTTTAATTATAAATGAATAAATACACATGTCCTCTGCCCCTTCTCAGGGGTCGTGTGAACACACACATCGCTCTGCACTTTCTGATGCAATAGACAAGACGCATCCTTCTTCTCTATAGTGACCCCGGAGGGGAGATCCGCCCCTAACATCTGCTGCACACATACTGAACCCGAACAGGACCACCGCTTCCAAAGCCAAGTCTATGTCCGGGACCCCGGGTGTGATGACACATGCAGGGATGCGGCTGACGCATTGCTCACGTTACATAACGCGCACCGGCAATGACATGCACCGCACCGATAATTGCAGGAAGATGGAACATGGGGATGAGGCAGCAGCATGGTGCCGCTCGGAGGCGGCCATCAGACCGGAGCAGGCACCTGCTCTACCAGGATGCAGTCACCAGGAGATGAATGAGGATCCTCGGTGGTGCCCCCGCCCCTCTGCCCATTCATCGTTCCCTTACTCACCCGGTGTGCTGCTATGGCATAGACCTCCTTCCTTCACACTGATGCCAGCGGCCAACTCATCACCATGCCGCCCACAAGCGTTCTTCCTCCGCTGCTCGCTGTGCCCGCACACTGAACGCCGGCCCGGGATTTAAAGCCCGATGTGTGGGAGGGCAGAGGAGGCACAGCGCACCGGCCCGCACTGAGGAGCTGCCTGTCTATCATGTGTAGGGGCGGGAACACGGGGGCCGCGGACGGGGGGAGACAAAGAAACTCACTGGATGCCGGAGCCGGAGGGCGGAGCCTCGGTGACAGCAGCGCTGGGCGTGGCTTAGGGGGAACGTGTTCGCTGTACGCTGTTCAGAAGTTTATAACTAGGCGGGCGATCGGAGCGATGTGAGTTGGCTTCATCACTGGAGACCCCGCCAAATTGTACCGGCTCCATCACTGGAGACCCCCCGATTGTACCGGCTCCATCACTGAATATCCCCTCCCAAATTGTACCGGGATTACCCCCTCTATTCTGTACATTTCCCTTTTCTACTGCTCCTTACCGGCTGCATCACTGGAGACCCCCCACGTTGTACTGGGATCACCCCCTCAGCACGCTTCATTCTTACCCTGATTGTACCGGGGTCACCCCCTCTGCTCAGCATGCTTCATTCTTACCCTGATTGTACCGGGGTCACCCCCTCTGCTCAGCATGCTTCATTCTTACCCTGATTGTACTGAGGTCACCCCCTCTGCTCAGCATGCTTCATTCTTACCCTGATTGTACCGTGGTCACCCCCTCTGCTTAGCACAGTGGCGTAACAATCGCCACAGCGACCCAGGTGGCTGCTATGGGGCCCGTGCACAGGGGGCCCGGCCAGGGCCGCCTGGGTCGCTATGGCATGTGGGGGTGCTGGCTGTCACAGACACAGCTCAGCAGCGGCCACGGCGCATTTCCCCTCATAGCCGCTGCGGAGCTGTGTCAGTGACAGGCGGCACATGAGGGCGGTGTTCGGAATGGAGGAGGCGGGGTCCGCCTCCTCTTACATCACTGGCCAGCGACCTAAGAGCAGGTGGGGCCAGTGATGTAAGAGAAGGCGGGGCCCATCGATAGCAGAGGGGGCCCGGGGACCACAGAGGCGCTGACAGGTAAGAGATCTCAGACCCTGCAGAGCCCACCATAGAGAATTTATGGTGGGCTCAGCAGGGTCACTCCGCTGGGGCTCTGCAAGTGGCATAACTAGCAATCACGGGGCCCCATACAAAATTTTGCTATGGGGCCCTGTGATTTCTAGTTACGCCCCTGGCTCAGCATGCTTCATTCTTACCCTGATTGTACCGGGGTCACCCCCTATGGCTGAGCATGCTTCATTCTTACCCTGATTGTACCGGGGTCACCCCCTCTGCTCAGCACGCTTCATTCTTACCTTGATTGTAATGGGGTCTACTCAGCACATGTCCCTCTTCTGCTGCTCCTTACCGGGCCTACAAAAACATTTGAGATCACTGAATTCCTGCTGATAACGGAAAATTTGTATATGATTAGGGCTGCAGCTAACCATTATTTTCATAATCGATTAGTTGCCTGATTTATTTTTTCAACTAGTCAATTGGTTGCAGTAACAAAAAATCTCTCCCTCCCTCTACCCCCAACTAACCGATAATGAGAATAGTTACGAACTATTCTCATACTCGATTATTATCAATTTAATCGATTAGTTGTTGCAGCCCTATAAATGATGTATACACAAAACACCCACTACAGAAGGAAGAGGCTGGGTTCAGTATTGCACTATCTGGGTATAGAAAAAGGGGGGATCTCGGAGCATACTACATGTATACAATAAACCTAATTTTTAAAGTGACACTAAACTCGGGAGTTAAATCTTAAAAATACATTCAAATACCATAATTATTAACAATGTATCTTATTTGTGTATCACTCGGCTGTAGATCCTCAAATCATCTCTGAATTGGTGCCCACTGTCCTTCCTTCTGGAGGGTGGCTACTTTTGTTCCCCATGGTCCCTGTGTGTGTTGTAAGGTAGCCACTGCCCCAAGCTCACTCCCGTGATGGACTACAATCTCGGGTTCAGTTTACTAGTTTGTGCTGAGATTGTAGTTCATCACAGGAGTGAGCTTGGAGCGGTGACTACTTCACAACACACACGAACCGTGGGAAACAAAAGTAGCCACCCTCCAGAAGGCAGGACAGTGTCAGCACCAATTCAGAGATGATTTGAAGATCTACAGCTGAGTGATACACAAATAAGATACATTATTGTTAATAGTTCAGGTACTTGAATGCATGTTTAAGATTTAAGTCCTGAGTTTAGTGTCACTTTAATTAGTAATCTCTGAATTATTAAAAAAAAATCTAAAAATTACATAGTTACATAGTATTTGAGGTTGAATAAAGACTAAACGAGGTCTAAACCAGGACATGCATGAGTTTATCCCAATTCCTGTCTTTTATCTACAGTCTATTTACATTTACACACAGTCCATGTGCAACAAAACATCCTCTATGTAGGAACACATTTAGGTACATAGTAAGCAAGGAACCATAAATGCGCATGAAAACTTGAGATACATCATAAGAGGAAAATAAAACCACCAACAGAAAAGTCAAGAAAAAGAATGAATGGGAAAGAAAGATAAGTATAGAGGGAAGAGGATGGAAAAAGCAGGAAAAGGTCAAATTGGACCAATGGAAAAGAAAACCAGATAATCCCCTGACACACCCATTCAGAGCGCCGGAGTCCAAGCAGAACTCATCATCTTAAGGTAAGCATCCGTTCCCTTAAAGTAAAGCCATTGCCTCCATGTGGATCTGAAATGTATTAAGTAGACATTTACTTAATACCACTAGGGTCTGTATTCCCCTGCTCTGGTTTCAGCCTCATGTTCCGTCTCTAAAAATGTGGTCCTCCAAAGTGAATGAGATCTGCCTAAGGACTTGACCTCATTAACTTTTTTTCACACTGCACCTCAACTTATATCACCGCATCACAGCTCATTACTGCGATGCATAAGAATAAATAAAATGACATTTTGTGGCATTTCAGTAAAGTTAAAAAAAGTAAGCAGTGCTGCATTGTAACAACCCTTACGGCCAGTACACAATGAACACCAACCTGTTTTAGAGTGCGGGCTGGTGCGAATGAGCTTTAAATGTATTTATTGTTTTATTATCACCAGTACTATTTAGACTGGAGATCCTGCACTGTAACCTGCCTATTTCCCATCCAGCCGACATTATGGAAGAGTGTGATGAGGTTGACATAATGGGGGGAATTGGTAAAAAGTGTCTGAAACTAACTTAGTCTCAACTGGAATGCAGCCAATCAGCTATTAAAGAGAGCTTGTCGCAAGATGGGCTTTGTGTATTAGTCTCTCCCAGGTATTTGACACAATAGCAGTCCCGTTACTGGCAACAACGTGGCAGTGACACAGTCATGTGGGGGAATGACAAGCTGCAAAATTACCCCTGTCAGAGAAAGAGGACGTTTCACTGTGCTGATATTGAGTGAATGGCACTCTAGAAACAAGTAGGCACTTCAAACCCTGCTAAAACTATCCTAAAATCTAGGGAAGCACCGATACTGGTTTTTCGTTATCGAGTACCAATACTTTGCTTTCGGTACTCGTTGATAACGGTGCTTCCGTTGGCATTGAGCCGGCTTCCCAGGCAATCTGATTGCCCGAGAAGCCGGCTCCATGTTGTCTGGCTGGCTTGATTGTGCTTGGCCGGGAAACCGGCTTCCCAGCCAATCAGCATCAAGCTGGCTGTCTGGCTCGATGGTGATTGGCCGGGAAGCTGGCTTCACGGCCAATTAGCATGGAGCCAGCTTCACGGCCATTCAGGGAGGTGGGTCAGCTTCCTAGCTTCCTGATCGCACTGGAAGCTGGCTCCATGTTTCCCTTCCTCTGACTATAAGTTCCGCTATCGGGGAAGGTATCGGAGCATTTGGGTGAGTATGAGTACTCGCCCAAATACTCGGTATCGGCACCGATACTAGTATCATTATCGGTGCATCCCTACTACAGTCCAAGGTAGTTACTGGCACTTTGCTTTACCCCCCTCCCCCACAAAAAGAAAAAAAACTCTGTCATTGGTAGTCAGTGGCACTTTACCTCCCCAGAACAATCCCCAAATCATTAGTGATTAGGGGGTTTTAAGCAACCCAACCCCACACACACAAAAACACACACAAAAAAAATTATTTAATCATTGGAGATCAGTGGCATTTTAACCCCCCATCACTAATGGACAGGGGCACTTAAAAAAACAATCCTGCAACATAATCATTGGTAAAGAGTAACATTTTAACACCCC